GATTTCAGTGACAGTGTGGGTAGATGTTCAGTGACACTGTGGGTAGATGTTCAGTGACAGTGTGGGTAGATGTTCAGTGACACTGTGGGTAGATGTTCAGTGACAGTGTGGGTAGATGTTCAGTGACAGTGTGGGTAGATGTTCAGTGACAGTATGGGTAGATGTTCAGTGACAGTGTGGGTAGATGTTCAGTGACACTGTGGGTAGATGTTCAGTGACAGTGTGGGTAGATGTTCAGTGACAGTGTGGGTAGATGTTCAGTGACAGTGTGGGTAGATTTCAGTGACAGTGTGGGTAGATTTCAGTGACACTGTGGGTAGATGTTCAGTGACAGTGTGGGTAGATTTCAGTGACAGTGTGGGTAGATTTCAGTGACACTGTGGGTAGATTTCAGTGACAGTGTGGGTAGATTTCAGTGACACTGTGGGTAGATTTCAGTGACACTGTGGGTAGATTTCAGTGACAGTGTGGGTAGATGTTCAGTGACAGTGTGGGTAGATGTTCAGTGACACTGTGGGTAGATGTTCAGTGACAGTGTGGGTAGATGTTCAGTGACAGTGTGGGTAGATGTTCAGTGACAGTGTGGGTAGATGTTCAGTGACAGTGTGGGTAGATGTTCAGTGACACTGTGGGTAGATGTTCAGTGACAGTGTGGGTAGATGTTCAGTGACAGTGTGGGTAGATGTTCAGTGACACTGTGGGTAGATGTTCAGTGACAGTGTGAGTAGATGTTCAGTGACAGTGTGGGTAGATGTTCAGTGACACTGTGGGTAGATGTTCAGTGACACTGTGGGTAGATGTTCAGTGACAGTGTGGGTAGATGTTCAGTGACAGTGTGGGTAGGTGTTCAGTGACAGTGTGGGTAGATGTTCAGTGACACTGTGGGTAGATGTTCAGTGACACTGTGGGTAGATGTTTAAGAACAGTGTGGGGAGATGTTCAAGAACAATGTGGGTAGATGTTCAGGAACAATGTGGAGATCTAGTCAAGAACAGTTGGAGTATATGTTCAAGAACAGTGTGGGTAGATCTTAAACCATAGTTCGGGTGGCTGCTCAAGGACACTGCGTGTAGATGTTCAAGGACACTGCGGGGAGATGTTCAAGGACACTGCGTGGAGATGTTCAAGGACACTGCGGGGAGATGTTCAAGGACACTGCGGGGTGATGTCTGTGCTATAAATGACACAACTACATTCTTGTTACCTTGATCTTTTTCGTGAAGACTTCTAGCGGGAGATGGGGGAACACAAGATGAGAATTGAGAATCCTTGGGGAAGGTTCCTTTTCCACCCTTGCCAGGGCATCGGCAAACTCCAGCATGACTTGTTCCTTGGCGCGCTTCTCATGCTCGGTCGTCTGGTTCAGCAGCATGTGAGTTACCTCCCACAACCAGTGGGTGCCTGCAGGAGGGACACAACAAACATCTATTTTGTCTAGTCACGTTATATAAATATTTATATAGATAAAAATCTGAGAGATGTATGATGTGTGTGTGTTGAATTAGTTTTGTTTCCACTTGGTCTCACATCGTCCATCCTCTTCCTTACCCCATCCCAATGGTTTGAACCTGCTGAACCTACACCTGAACCTAATGCTGTTAACATCCCAACGGAGGGGCAGGGCTGCCACTCAATTTTTCTTAAATTCCCAAGATTTGATCAAAATATTTCCCAAGATTTCCCAAGATAATGATAATATATAAGAGTTTGTTTTTTTAAAAAAGGGGAATTATATTGGGAATTTTTAAAGAAAAAGTGAGTTTTTATCCTGGATGGGGTAGTGAATTCCCAAGATCTTGGAGAATTTCCCAAGGTGTGGCAGCCCTGCGGAGGGGCGAAATAAAACACGAACTAATCTCACCACTTTTGGGGTACGCTGCAATCAAAACGTCATTGTCTCTTATCTTCAAAGCCCTGATACTTTCGATGTGGGTCACGTGATCAGTGACCCACGGGAAACGTGGTACTCTCCAGCCGTAGAGGTCTCGTTCGCTTCTCTTCATGAATTCGGGAAGACCCGTTGTGGTGACCGGTGGTGCGGTATTATTCTCAGACGACGTCATAGGCGCTCTCTTGGCTTCCGAAACCAAACAATCAACTTAAGCTAAGCAGAGCTAATTATAAATATGTGATTATGTTAAAAAGTAACATTTATGATTTCTATTCACAAGTTTAACAATGTCCTTCTTAGATAGATCCGTTGGTCCCCCCCCCCCCCCCCCAAGAAATTACGATAAACTTGCGAATTAAATCTTAACTGACAGTCCATGCCACCACTGACACAGAGAGTAACAACTTGACATTTGAACAAAAAACAAGAGGACACTTGACATTTGAACACAAACCAAGATGACACTTGACTATTGGACACATACCAAGATGACATTTGGCATTTGTACATATACCAAAATGCCACTTAACATTTGGATATATACCAAGATGACATTTTGACATTCGACATTGTAGTCCTACCAAGATGACGCTTGACATTGTACACCTACCTAGATGACACTTGGTATTTGGAAACATACCAAGACAACACTTGACATTTGGACTCATACCAATGTTTACTTGACATTCGACATATACCAAGGTGACACTTGACTTTGGACACAGAACAAAAACAAGAACAAAATTAAGCCAAGATGTCCATTGAAATTTGGAAATGAACAACGATGACATATTGTCAATGCCTCGTCCAATCATCTTTGATCTCAATGAGTAGATCAATTATTTGTTAAACTCACTGACATTAGTCAGGAAATGTGAAGCTGGTTAAATAGATCAATGCCCCAGGACCCACTTTTGACCTTTCAACAGTACTATGACTGTAAGATAACTGTACACACTTCTGAACTTTCAACAGTACTATGACTGTAAGATAACTGTACACACTTCTGAACTTTCAACAGTACTATGACTGTAAGATAACTGTACACACTTCTGAACTTTCAACAGTACTATGACTGTAAGATAACTGTACACACTTCTGAACTTTCAACAGTACTATGACTTTAAGATAACTGTACACACTTCTGAACTTTCAACAGTACTATGACTATAAGATAACTGTACACACTTCTGAACTTTCAACAGTACTATGACTATAAGATAACTGTACACACTTCTGAACTTTCAACAGTACTATGACTGTAAGATAACTGTACACACTCTTGACCGTTCAGTGGTACTATGACTGTAAGATAACTGTACACACTTCTGAACTTTCAACAGTACTATGACTGTAAGATAACTGTACACACTTCTGAACTTTCAACAGTACTATGCCTGTAAGATAATTGTACACACTCCTTTCAACGGTATTATGACTGTAAGGTAAATGTACATATTTTACATTTCAACAGTACTAAGGCTATAACACAAATGTACACATTTTACCTTTCAACAGTACTAAGACTATAAGATAACTGTACACAGAAAAAAAAACAACACGGTAAGATAACTCATGTGTCAACAGACAAGAAGACCAGAGTTTGATACGTGAAGGCTTAGTCACCATTCCATTACACATCAGGTTTATTTTTTGGTGAAGATTATGTTATGTATGTGACAGTAGAATGACAGAATATGTTATAACTGAATTCATTATTCCCCATTATTTATTAAGACTGACATGATCTACACACATAAGACTGACATGATCTACACCCATAAGACTGACATGATTTACACACATAAGACTGACATGATCTACACCCATAAGACTGACATGATTTACACACATAAGACTGACATGATCTACACACATAAGACTGACATGAT